CCAAGTTTTTGGTGCCACAGTTTCACCTCTTTTTCTTCTTTTGCAATGGAACACACAGATGAGAAATTAGTGTTCTCAGGCTCCCACAAGTAACAGTTGTCTTTGGATCTGACTCCTTTCATTACTATCTCTTGTTTGTCATTGATTACAAGGCATTCAGATTTTGAGAAATTGACCTTGAATCCTAGATCACACAGTTGACTGATACTAATGAGATTAGCGGTCAGCCCTTTCACCAGCAGTACTTCATTCAGACTTGGAACTCCAGGGCAGTCCAAATCACCAACTCCTTTGATTTCACCTTTAGCCCCATCTCCAAAGGTCACAAAACTGGTGGTGTGAGGCTTAACATTATTGAGGAGGTTCTTGATTCCAGTCATGTGTCTGGAACATCCACTGTCAAAGTATCAGTCTTCCTTTGCAGAGACCCTCAGGGAAGTGTGAGCTATCAGTGCAGTAGCCTTTTTCTTCCATTGAGGAGCATGTGGTACCTTTTTAGACTTAGGTTTGACACCTGAGTTCTGATTAGGGTATCCATGTAATCTGAAGCAGAAGGGCTTTATGTGGCCATATCTCCCACAATGATGACATTTCCATCTTTGGTACCTTTTCCTCATATGTCTCTGTTCCTGATGTCGAGAGTTGTGTTGAGACATCTGTTTTGACATTTGCTTACCAGAACCAGATTTCGTTGCTTCCATAAATCCTAGTCCAGATTTATTTCCCACATTTTGTCCAACCTGAAGGATCTCTTCCAATTTGTCTGTTCCATTTGTCAACATCTTGACAGATTTGGTCATTTGAGTCAGTTGTGAGTTCATCAATTGAACTTCTCCTTCTAGATGACTTATAGTTTCAAGGTTTGCCCTTTTTTCAGCCTCCAGCTTTATGATGAGTTTTGATTGTTTCTCATTCTGCACACAGACTTCAGTACTTCTGATACACAATTCCTTGTAAGTATCAGCCAGTTCTTCAAAAGTCACCTCTTCATCACTGATGTCACTTTCAGAGGTACAAACACCAGTTAAAGCAGTAACTCGTTTGGCAGTCTCTTCTTCAGAATTACTTTTTGAATCACAGTCAGACCAAGTAACTGTCATTCCTTTTTGTTTCTTAAGAAAGGTAGGACATTCAGCTCGAATATGCCCATATCCTTCACAACCATGACATTGAATTCCTCTGCCTTGAATTCCCTTCTCTTCTGACCTTGGTCTTCTGCTGGAACTGTCAATGTTAGAGGGAATGTTATGAACATTAGACCTTGACTTTGGATCTATTCTTTTGATGAGTTTGTTGAACTGTCTTCCAAGCATGGCTACAGCTTCTGAAATGTTTTCTTCAACATCAGTGTTGGACATAAGTGCTATGCTCTTGTTCTTCTTGACACCATTATCAGTGATTCCCATCTCAAAAGTCTGAAGAGACCCAATAAGTTCATCCATTTTCAACTTGCTAATGTCCTGGGCTTCCTCTATGGCAGTTACCTTCATTGCAAATCTTTTAGGCAAGGATCTGAGAATCTTCCTCACCAGTTTTTCTTCTGACATCTTTTCTCCCAGTGCTCCTGAGGTGTTGGCAATCTCCAAGATGTTCATGTGAAACTCATGAATGGTTTCATCTTCCATCATTTTTAGATTCTCAAACTTGGTGGTCAACATCTGAAGCCTTGACATTTTTACTTTGGAAGTGCCCTCATGAGTAGTTTTGAGAGTGTCCCAAACTTCCTTGGCCAGTTCATATTGATGTACTAGTCTGAAAATGTTTCTATCAATTCCATTGAACAAGGCATTTAAAGCTTTTGAATTTCCCAGAGCTAACTCATCTTCTTCTTTACTCCAATCTTCCTCAGGCTTCAGACTGATTGTCCCATCTTTCTCAGTTATGGTGGGATGAATCCATCCTTTGTCAGCAGCTCTCCAAGCCTTTTTGTCCAGAGATTTTAGGAAGGCAATCATACGAGGTTTCCCTGCTTCCCGGGGGACGGCAGGGAGAGCCTTAAACGAATAAGAGGATGTTGTTTGTGATATTGAGGGATTCCGAGGCTTACACGAGTATGCGTAAGCACTAAAATAATCATAAATACCCAAATATTGGCCTTAAATTATGTCCATAAGCTTCAAAATGAAACTTGACTAAATTATACTAGGCCAAAGGGTTATGTTCACTTTAAAATTCCATGAAAAATAAAAAAATAGGATATAAAATTTAAACAAGAATGTGTGAGGGCAAGGTACCTCTACTCTTGTTTTAATGATGTCAAAACATTCTTCGCATCTTACATTTGTGCTCTTGATGTTGGTAAACTTGCATTTGAGAATTAATGGCTTGAAACTCCTTGAATTAAATAATTTTTGGCCACTTCAACTGTTTATGTCGACTCACACAATTGGTGGGTCGACTCATAGATTGATCAAGGACTTTTCACCTGGCTCGAGACTACTCGCATCGACTCTTCTGGCCGACTCATGCTGGGAGTGAATTTCTTTCAGGTTGCGTCGATGCATGCCTTGGTGCGGTCGACACATCTCTTATTTGTGTATCATCTCATCAAGCTCGGGTTTGCTCTGGTCGACCCCAAGCTGTATGAGTCGATACATCGCTAAGTTTTTCTATTTTTCTGCTCTATTATTGGTCTTGCTAAAAGTGAAACATTTATATATTGGTTTGTGTTCATCATTTGTGATAACGAGAAAAAGTGAAAGATATACACCAAATTCTCATCATCTTAATCCTTTCCTTGCATTCTTCAACAATTACAGATAAATTTTTTTGTTGATTAAAGTGCAAAGTTGTGGTGATAACTTTAAAATTGAAGATTGATTTTAGATTTAGGTTGAGAGTTGAGTGAGTTTTTTCTTGAATAAAACCATTTGGGTTTTCTCCTCCAAGATCCGTGTTGGTGCGAGGTTTTTTGCATAAGTCTTTGCTTCATTGAATTCAACCGAGTGAAAGGGTTGAGAAACAATGGGTTTGCTCAATCAAGTAGCAGTAACCGGAGGATTGTGAAGAAAGATTTAGGGTCAAACGTCTTGCAATTGAAATCAGCCGAGTGAAAGGTTTGTAGAATTAGGAGTCCGTGCAATCAAGTAGCGGTAACTTGAGGTTTGTTTGAAGAGTTTGGCATACTTTGTTTGGCTTGAACCAAGGGGAGAGAAGGGAATCGTTTCATCATCAATAATTGGTTTGTATGTAGTGAAGACTATTGCTTCTCTTGTAACACTTTGCGACTTGATATCATATAACTCAATTCTAGATTTTAGAATTGGAGGAAGACGTGCCCTACGCGAGGATGACAAGGGGATCTGCCTTAACAAATCGTGTGTTGTTTCTCTTTCCCCATCCTTTTATTTTCATTTGTTATAATATGTGTGATACTGATTGTTCAATTTATTTTACCATGATTGTAGTGATTCAAACTTAGTTTACAATAATCATAGCAATTACTTTGATTGTTATCAAGGAAAATTCATCACTATAATTAAGTAAAATTAAACTTGTTGCATTTTTGCACACCAAATGTTTGATAAATTGACTAACACACAAATTAGTGATTTTGTCAAGTTTTATCTTAAACAATTCATTGGAAGTAGTATGTACTCATTGATATTGTTTAAGTGATTGATTAGTAATTAATAATATTTATTCATTCCTCATCATAAGATCTCCATACAGTTTTGCATATCTGATCTTTTCAATAACGGATCGTTTAGACAATTTTGATTCGGGAAGCTTTCGCATCATTTCAAAACATATTTTAAAAGCGCAATTTTTAGGTAAAGGATCTATTCAGCCACTCATTCTAGATCTGTCTCATCGTCTAACATAATGATCAAAATAGCTCAAGTCTCTTACATGTCAGAAACTATTCATTGCTCAAGTTAAAAGTTGACGGAAGTATCAAAATTAAATCAAAAGATCAATACTAGCTAAAAACTAGGTTTAAATGACCATTAAGCAAAATAATTTCGTATAAAAAATAAAAAATCAGAAGCAAAAAAACAGAAAAAGAAACACGATTTTAACATCCTAAATAAGCTTAAGCGTATTTTTGTGTAATTTTGAGATCAATGAAATTAAGTGAATTATATTGAAACTTCAAAAAGAAGCAATAAAACCTCAAAAAACCATTAAATCACTTCTCAATTTTTGAAAGCCAAATGAAACCTAAAATAAATGAGGTCTAAGACCATAAAAAACCCAGGAAAACTCAAAGGAACATAAATATATTTTTTTTAGAATTTTAGGATTCCTGAAAAATATTAGAAATAATTCTATAATAAAACTATACAAGATAAAAACAACTAAAAACACCTTTAACCATTTTATCTAATTAATATGGTAAAAATATTGGAAAAATCAATTAAAAATAAGAACCATAAAATATATATCTCAAAGTTCATCCATGATTTTTTTTCAGAGTTTTTTGATTAATAAAACTATTTAAAATAAATTTGTGAAATCAATTGAAATAAATGATAAAATAAACAAAATAAATCAAATGATATAAAAATAGTGTGGTCAAACTTTCGACATAGTATTCTGCAGGGCCCACATGCTATCATGGTCCAATAAAAGCATTTCATCAATCATCGAGAGAGTGAGATAAAATAGGGATAAGACAAGCCCGTGCCTTGGGAAATATGTCCAGAATTTGCACAAATACATGCAAAAATCGTGAAACACCCATCCTGCTTTCTAATCCATTTTTCTCACTAATTTCTCAACGAAATTAAAAAGTATAAAAATAAAAGTTGTAAATATCGAAAAGATCTAGAACTTTTCTTCAATTTTTTTTTGAAATAGTTGAGAAATGAGAGAGAAATCTGGACGAGAAGTTGAAAAAAAACAAAAAGTCACTCCTAAATTCAAGATCCAAAATCACAAAATCTAGCAAAGATCAAACAATTTGCCCTTAAGAGAGGGACTCAGTGGATCACCAACAACATCACAAGCAAGATTAAGATCTATGGATGCATAGTTTGAGAGAAAAAAGATCTTACATAGTGGAGAAATTCCACTTCCTCTTTAAGCTTGATCCAATGCAAGAAACCTATAAACTTCTCTTTATGGTGGAGATTCCTCAAAAAATTGCTTGTACAAGAAAAGAGAGAGATAAGGAAAGAATGAGAGGATTTCGTGAGAGAGGAAGAGATGGCTTGATGTGCCAGTGATGAATGAGCAAGACCTCTTATATAGGCCCCAAGAATGAGGGTAGAAAGGTCCTTTTGAGCTCATAACCGTTGGAGGGTGATTTTGGAAGAAATTGCACAAATATGTCATGGAGCCAAAGCTTGCGTTTTATGAAGAGTGAGGGAGGAAATTTTTGCGTTTTGGCTTGCTTGTGGATTCAATTGCACATGGCCAAAAGATGGTACAAGATAGTGGAGAGTGGAGAAATATTTACAAATTGATATTTTTGGTAATTTTGAGGTTTTTGAGTGCCAAGCAAGTATACAAAGTGCATGGGTACAAATAGAAGGTATCATAGACTTAATCACGTCCTAAATAGGTTATAGACTCAATTTGAGTCAAAATAAATGACTAGAAATCAAGTTTGAGAGAAATTGCAAGTTGGATGACTTAAAAATTTCACAAAAATGACCTAAACTTATAAAATGCACAACTTCATCAATTCTTTGAATTAACTCATGTACTAGGACTTTATGGAATGAGAATTTGATCTCCTACAACTTTCATGTTGGAATAAATTTGGTTTAAATCCATTAAGATCCCCAAAACTGTCCACGAAAACTGGTTGAGTTGAAAATGACCTATAATTTCCATGATGACCAAAAGTCCAAAGCTGAATATGTCTCAAAATAATAAATTTTTAGACATGAGCTCACAAGGAAAAACTTGTAGATTTTAATTTTATCTTCCCAAGGATGCAATGTTTGTAAATTTATGATAAAAAATGAAGAAGTTATGATTTTTCAAAGTTTAGCTTGAAAATAGTTAAATTCCATAACTTCGAAAAATTCTAAGGTATAAAAGATAACTTAATTCTCAAGTTTACCTCAAATTCAATCAAACTCTTGATTTTCTTCATTCAATAGTCATGTAACATCAAAGTATGATCTTTGACCTTCTTGTTGACCAAAAATCCACTTGATCAAACTTTGACTTTTTGTTGACTTTTCCTCGAAATGACTATTTTACCCCCAATTGATCAATTGAATCTCTTCCAATCAAAATTGATGCTCAATCCTTCAATCATAGATGCTTAGAAACATGTTGAGAATCATTGAATCAAGTGTTGCTAAAAAAATCAGAGATATCATGGTTTAAACACAATCCCTAATTTTGACTGCTTGTGCTAGGAGGTGATTATCTAATCTCAAAATCCTAACTCCTTTGAGTATGATGGAGAATATCTTGAACAAAGATGTCTCATGTGATGATGAGAAGATAATACTTCAAGAATTTGGTTCATACAAGCACGACACACTTCTGATGAATCAATGAGGCAATTGAGATGTCTTGAAGTATGAGAAACCCTTGTAGCTTGAGTGACCCAAAGAGTGAGGGCATGAGACCCTTTTGGCATTGATTGTCAACACAACCATCCTTTCATAACTTATAGAAAAACATGAGAAACAAAGATACCTTGATCCCGTAAAAAAGGCATGAGTATATATGATGAAACATAAGTCATATAAGGTAAAAAGAAGAGAGCACATTTTGGGGTGCAACACCGATCAAGACTAATATTTCCGGGATGTATACAAATGATATAGACTTTTTAAGCAGGTTAATAGGCTAATCAGGCCTTTGAAAATGTCAGACTCAAGCCCAAAAATAAGCCTATGATAGGCCACAAACCACTCTTAGACTTTGAATTTTTTAATAGGTCAGACTCAAACTTGACAAAGTCTAACTCGGTCCAACTTATTTTCACCCTTACTCTTGAGGATCCATGAGATAAAGACTTGCAATATAAGAGATGCATTCATACTTGTAAAACCCAACAAATTAATATGTATAAATTTTCATTTTACCCATTGTATAAACTTTGACTCTATCACGCCCAAACTGCAGCTTAGGAAGAAGGCGGAAATAAAAAGTAGTGATATGCAATGAGCTGACTTGTATTGACTTGTACTTTTCTAGACAGCTGATGATAATAGCATTGCAACTTGCAAGACAAAACCATTAGCCATCACATATATCCAAATCCAAGAGCTGTATATAAACCACAAACCCCTCATTCATTTCAATCATCCCAATCTCCAAATAACAAACAAAATGTCCACTATTATTACTAACTTGTTTCTTCTATTCATTTTCATATTCCTCTCTCAAACTACTTCTTCTCTCTCAAAAAGATGCCATCCAGAAGATGAAAGAGTCCTTCTCCAAATCAAAAAAGAATTCAACAATCCATCCCTTCTCTCCTCATGGAAACCACACACTGATTGTTGTAACTTCAACTGGTACGGTGTTGCTTGTTCCGCCTTAATCAACCAACGTGTTGGTTATCTCAGTATCTCGAACGACACAAACCTTTCTTCTCAATTCCCTCCATCTATCGCTAACATACCTTACTTAGAGGCACTATTTATCTTTGATTTACCAAATCTAACTGGACCAATTCCACACTCCATAACCAAACTCACCAAGCTCAAATACCTCACAATCAGCTCAACCGGCGTAACAGGTCCAATACCAAATTTCACAGACCAGTTTACAAACCTAGTTAACTTGGATCTCTCACACAATAACCTCTTTGGTACACTCCCTCCTTCACTGTACAAATTACCTAGTCTTTCTGGTGTTCTCTTTAACAACAACATGTTAACAGGTACAATCCCTCCTACGTATGGTTACTTCAATAATAGCAACGTAGCTTCTTTGGATCTCTCTTATAACAATCTCTCCGGGAAGCTCCCTATTTCATTGGCCATGTTGGATATTTACCTTCTTGAATTGGCTTATAATAACTTTGAAGGCGATGCTTCTATGCTTTTTGGTTCCAATAAAAAGACATTGGTGATAGACATTTCGGGGAACCGTTTTGCTTTTGATTTTGGAAGACTTGACTTGTCTCAGACCATAACATCGTTGGATGTGAGTCACAATAAGATATATGGGAATTTTCCTATGGCAATGGAAAATGTGACGTTTTTGAATGTGAGCTATAATAGGCTGTGTGGTGAGATTCCAAAGGTTGGTTATTTCAACACTTTTGATGTGTCTTCATTCATTCACAACAAGTGTTTGTGTGGATCTCCTCTTCCAAGTTGCAAGTGATCATTGCAGAGACTAAGTTGTTGATTTACCACTCATCTATAATTCTATAAGTAATTTTGATTTTTTTTTCCACATGTTATTTTACAATTGCAAACACTCACTTAATCTTACTCATTTTCTGTAATTTGTCACTTGACATTATCTGGTTTGTAAACTTGTAACCTTTATTAATGATATGCTAAGTCTTATTTTAATGATGAGAATAATACTACTTGATTCATTTTAAAATAAGATTCCTCTATAATACCGTTCGTCCGTTTTGGCCGCCTTCCGCCGCCACGCCGATTTCGGCCACTGGCTGGCTGCCGCCTTTGCGGTCTGTCTGCCGCTACCATCTGCCGAAGCTCTGTCAGCTATCACGGCTCCAGCACTTCCCGCTTCGATTTTTTTCCATTTTTGATTTTTCGACATTCTAAAATACTTTTTGGAATTTGTGTTTTTTTGGTTTATGCAATCTCGAAATATCCTTTGTTTCTCTTCATCAATAAAGATTTTAAAACATAATTCAACAAATGATATGACTTCGGGCATTGTTGCAAAGAGTACTCATAGACTTTGCTTTGCTCATGTCAAATACGCTCAAAACACCTTCAACGTAGTTTTTATGAAACAACCATAATTTATTAGCTCCTCAGTCCCTGAGAATTTTCATCTAAAAAATCTTCTTGGCTGCATCCAAATCCTTCATATCAAACTCTTTACTCAACTTGCTCTTCAACTCTGAAATTTTAGCATTCGAATCACATATGTCCTAAGAGATGTCGAGACACCTTTCTCTGAACAAAAACCTAATGACAAGATAAACGATTAACAAAGTGCAGAAAAGTAAAGAACACACAGGATTGTAAACACAGTTTGGTGTACAACAACACCTACTCTGGAGGCTACTCTTACTTAACTTCTATCTAAGACTTATCTAAGTATAAGACCCTTCTCAAATCCTTCCCAATCTTAGAACAGTGGCTGAACAATTCTAAACACTTAGAAAATCACATAAGTCACACTTCAAAGACACATAATCATTCACTGAAAAGTTTTGGAATGACTGACAAAACTTACACCTAAAAAAAGTCATACTCTTTTATCAAGATGATAATCGAGAGGTTAACAATAAACATACAAACCCTAATAACATTACACAGTAAGTTCTACTATTGTACTAGGGTTGAAGTCTTCTATTTATAATCTTCAATGAACTGGATTTGGGCTTCACATATGCAGCTGGATATGGCAGGGGTGTTACAGAATTATCTCCTCAAAGATAGGACATCAATCATTGATTTCCTAAATTATCTCCATAATTAGAAACTAACGATTCTCCTTGAAATCAGCTTGAATCTTTTTAATCTTCAACCTGTGCGCTACATAAGATAATATAGTATTTACAAAATATTCTCTATCCGTAACAAACTAAAATATCCAACAGTCCAACTGTACCAAATCACGATATCGAAAGAAAATACATAGGACATCACATTCGACATGTTGCTCCAGTTGATAGAACATCTTATTTCAACATGTTTAAGCTAAGTTAGTTTTTCCAAACATAATGACAATCACAACAAAATAGAGAATTAACAATCTCCCCATTTGACTTGTTTCGGCTAAAACAACTTCGTACATCTTTCACAAATAAATAGAAATAACTCAGGTTTGAGAAGAACCTCAAACACACAAGCAATCAGAGACACAACAACAACAAAAGTGAGCATAATAAATATCAGAGCAATAACTAGTGGAAGCTACTCAACACAATCAAAGACATAGAGTCGAGTCCAGAACAAGGACTCCCCCTCAAAACCTACCAAGAACTAACAAAATCTCCCCCTCAACGAATAATGGTTAGCTCACACACACTTACTCCCCCTTTTAGCCATAATATGACAAAGATGAGAAGCTAACCAACCGATCATTAGCATAAAATCTAAGTAGACCCTGGACACTTAACTCTTACAAAATCATAAAATAATAGAAATAAGTACTCAAAGCAAAGCCAAAAAGGCTTACAAAGTCAATAGTCATGCATCGGCAACAAACTCTTCTCTTTCTTCATCAGCAGCAACATCAGTAGATGTAACAACAACGTCATCATTACTCTTGACGACAGAGTTTTCTCTTGAGAGGATGTCACGACAATATCTGGAACATGTGTTCCATCAACCAATCCATAATGAAATGAGAATTTCTTTCTCTCCATAGCCAATAAAATATCAGAAGGCAAGTGGTTATATTTATTGACCCACACCAATATAAATAATTGCTCTAAGTCCTCATATACACAGATTTCTAGTCTCCTTCTTAATTTTTCAAACTGAACCACATCTAGAGCTTTAGTAAAAATATCAGCAAGCCGCTTTTCAGTACTAACATGCTCAAGAGTTATAACTTTGTCTTCAACAAGATCCCTTATAAAGTGATGCCTCATATCAATGTGCTTATTCCTACTATGCTAAATAGAATTTTTGAAAATATTAATAACACTCAGGTTGTCACAGAATAATGTCATGACATATTGTATGATATTGTACTCATTCAACATATGCTTCATCCATACCAGTTGAGAACAATTGTTACCTGCTGCTATGTATTTAGCTTTGGAAGTAGACAAAGATACACAATTTTGTTTCTTGCTAAACCATGATATCAAGTTGTTTCCTAAGAAGAAACATCCACCCGAAGTACTATTTCTATCATCCACACTACCAACCCAACCAGCTTCACAATATCCCATTAGCACAAAGCTTTTATCATGAGAGTACACTATTCTATTCTCATATGTACCACTCACATACTTTAGAATTCTTTTGACTTGAGTGATGTGACTCATTTTGGGATCAACCTGATATCTAGTACAAACACCAACAACAAAAGCTATATCTGGCCTGCTTGCTGTAAGATACAGAAGACTTCCAATCATGCTTCTATATAGACTTTGGTCAACATTAACTCCCTTGTCATCTTTGGATAACTTCAAGTATGTAGAAGCAAGAGGTCTCTTATGGATGGAATTTTCCAATCCAAATTTATTCACAATATTCTTTTCATATTTGCTTTGACAAATGAAAATGGAGTCTTCCATCTGCTTGATTTGAAATCCCAGGAAGAAAGTTAATTCATCCACCAAACTCATCTCAAACTCTGATTGCATTTGTTTGACAAAATGTCAGACCATTTCATCTGACATCCCTCCAAAAACAATATCATCCACATAGATCCGGGCTATCATAAGTTTTCCATCTTTCTCTTTGACAAAGAGAGTTTTGTCAATTCCTCCCTTTCTATAACCATTTTTAACAAGAAATGTAGTCAACCTTTCATACCAAGCCCTTGGAGTCTGCTTCAAACCATACAATGCCTTCTTTAGTCTGAACATATGATTTGGGAATTAAGGATCAACAAATCCTTTTGGTTGTTCAACATAGATTTTGTTTATTCAGATAACCATTTAAGAAGGTTTTCTTGATATCCATTTGGGACAGCTTGAAACTTAAGAGACATGCCACTCCAAGTAAAAGTATGACGGATTCCAAGCGAGCTACATGAGCAAATGTTTCATCAATGTCCACTCCTTCAACCTGAGTGTACCTTTGAGAAACAAGTCTGGTCTTATTTCTGGTGACAGTTCCTTGTTCACCTGACTTGTTTTTATACACCCATTTATTACCAATAACATTTACCCCTCCAGGTCTTGGCACTAAGTCCTAGACTTCATTTCTTCTGAATTGACCAAGTTCATCTTGCATACCTGAATCCAAAATTCATCAGTCAAGGCTTCTTTGACATTCTTTGGTTCAAACTTTGAAACAAAGCAAGAGTTTGATACAACTTCCCTCGATATGGTTTTTACTCCTTTACTAAGAGTTCCTATAATAAGTTCCTTAAAATGATCTTTCTGAATTATAATAGAGGGACCCTGTTGTACCCCAAAATTTTCCCTCTCATTTATCAAGTTTTTTCTCACAAGACTTCTTTGACTCAAGACAAGATCAGGGTTTGCTCAGCTCAAGACATCTCATCTTGCACTGATAACCCAAAATTAGGGTTTGAGTTTGCACAAGGAATTTTGGACCATCAATGCTTCATGTGACTTTCATACATCATTTTGGACCCCTAAGGTTGCTCATGACAAGTTTCAAGCCTTGGACCATATTTTTGATCAGTCAATTGGACAGTTGACCAAAAAATCAACTATATTGGGGAAAAAGTCAACCATGGCCAATTTACAGTCAAACTTCATAATTTTTGATCCACATCAATATTTTAGACTCATATGTATCATTTGATCAAGTTTGGATCATAATTCCTCAAGAAATTTGATCAAATCATCAAAAGGGCAAAATGGTCAAAATTAGGGTTTTGATTGAGAAAGGGCAATTTCTGATTCTTAACCTAGAAAATGAACATTTAAGTTAAAGAATGATTTTAAGTATTCAATGGCATCATCTTGACTTAATTACATGGCTCAAAACATTTCAATTTCCTTGGATTAAGAAATGAAATTTGAAGTCAACTGATCAAAAGTCATTTGTACACTAAAAAGTCAAACTTTGACTTTTTGGTCAAAGTCAAGTACCAAGGGTCATAATTCATCAAAACATTCCCAAATGTGAAAATTGTTCACCAAGAAAACCAAATTTGAAAATTAGGGTTTTAATTTGAAAATTTTCATAACTTCGAAATTTTCTAAGTATAAAAATTTTTCTTATTTTTTCCCAACTTTACACCACTTTTTCACCATGATGCATTTTGATTCAAAGAAAATTCCAAACATGAAAGTTGTAGACCTCCATGAAATATAACACTTTTATTCACAAACTTTTCCCTAAAGATGCTTGGATCTCAAGATATAAATTTGTGAATACATGGTCATGAACTTCTTAACTTAGTGAAATTTTGCCCTAATTTAGGCAGGTTTTGGACCCAACTTCATGGCAAGTTTTCATCTAGTCCCAAGAGGTATCTCAAAATGCATTTCAAATATGGATTATAGATAACATTGC